CAAAAGTTAAAAATGTTTGGGTTAATAAAGCTGATACTGTTTCGTCTCATAAATCTGTTGTTACTAACCCTATTCTTCCTTGCATTGTAAGATCTACTAATGATCTTATCAATCCTAGAAAGAAAAGAATCATGTGCTCAACATGCAGAACCAATGAATTTGTCAATAGAAAAATGTACAGCAGATGGTATGAGGACAACAACTATCAGAAAAGTTGGAATAGTTTTAACAGGTATGACAACAACTGGTATGGATCTTATTGTGTATTTGATCAACCTGTTAAGTGCTAAAAAGAAGACATCTAATAGGAATAGATGGTTTGGCAGCTAAAACATTCCCCAGCCCGATACTAACAAAATAGGACCCACGTTTGTTTGGGTACCAAAATATGCTTGATCTGTTTTGTTGGTGTGTCATTACTATGCTGATAAGATGATCATTTGCATGATGCACTGGTGCAGGGGGAGTTTGTAATCTGTCTAATATGGTTTCTGAATATAAAAATTCAGGACCCGTGCTAAAATGATTATGGCTTCTGAACAACACAGTTCAAGACCCGAGCCAAAATGTTTTCATTTTTGGTTTTGAGCTAAAACAAAATATTACTTAAATCCATTTTCTAGGGGGAAGTCTCTGGAAAATTTTTGATAAATGTTTTTGGAAATTGAATTGATTCTTGAAACAAGTATCTTTTCTAATCAGGTATTTCTTGAGATTTTACTTGCGTAATTTTTCGTCGTACATAATTCCAGTACATGTTTCAGCTATTCTTCAAACTGTTATTATCACGCCTCTTAAATGAAAATCATTTTCGGTGATAATACACTCGTTTATATTCAAAGTTGTTTTCTAAATTTTTTTTACTTTGATTGATACATAATTCATTATTCTTTAATTTTATGAATCTGTAAACTTGTACTTACAGATCTTCATTCATTTCTTCCACATACGTTGAATAATCTGTTTGATACATCACTCCATGTTGATTGTGCTTAAATGCTATATTTTTCTTGATCAGTTTTACATGATCATTTATGCTTCATAGCAATAATATTTTGATCAACTGTTTGTGATCAATTGAGCTTACACTATTAATTTTAGCAAGGATTGAGTGCTTCACAGAAATACCTCAATGGAATGTCAGAACCGACAGACC